GAGGTCTATAATAAAAATGTTCATTAGCATAAAAAGGTATTCAGGTGGTCACTTGTTGAATTCTTAAATTTTGGAACCATGTATTTCTTTCTCATATCAAGAAAAGGAAACCTAAAAAAAATAACAATAAACTTTACAAAGATGTGATATTAAAATAATAATAAGTAATTAACTTTTCTGTTAACCTTTACTATAATCATTATGATACAGATGAAGACGAACTTAGCTGGGATTTATTCCCTCTTAATTTTACTTTTTCGAAAATGAGAAAGTTCAATTGCAAATTAATTAATTGCCTAATGCACCGTCTCTGGTAATTAAGTTGTATTTGTACTTACCTATGATATAATCTTGTAGAAGCATTTTCAACAGGTCTTTTACACATAAAGCATGTTTTCACCATATTATTACAGATAATAAATCTTCAATATACATTTAAAACCCTTACAAGGCTATAAATAATTATATTTTTCTTAAAATACAAATCAATAATTGACATGTGTCAGAAAGTGTCAGAACGAGGTCACAACCTCACTGTCAAATTTGGCAACGCTGATTAAATAAGCCAATTACAGAAGAGGTATTTCCCCCCTCAGGGGGAGTAGATGTTGCTAACAAAATTTAGCGCGGGGAAGGGGGGAAGACTCCCTCTAGTAGTAATTGCTCGGAGGATGTTGCTAACAAAATTTAGCGCGGGGAAGGGGGGAAGACTCCCTCTAAAGGGGCGTTTGATTTGAAACTCGATCGAGCGAGCGTCGAGGAGACCGAGAAGTGATGACGTCACAATAGAGCATTGAATCAAATCAAATAAAACAGAGTAAAAAACATAACCTCGCTTTTCTGTGATTCTTGTTTCTGGTTTGTATGTTAAAATAGTGAGCAAAAAGTAAAGAAAATGGAAAAACTTTTAATAATAAGGGGCAATGGCCCTGAAATGCAGCATTTACCACAAATGCCCGCTTCGCTCTCATACTCCATGACTGTGATTACTGGTGATTGGATCTGGACAGAAAAAATGTAATTTCCAAACACACATTTTGTGTTTTTTTATGATGAATAATTTTAGCTATAAGACAAAAGCGGCTAAGTAATTCGTTGACTTCTTGTCTGGTCTTTAATTTTGAGATTCAAATTTGTTTGTAAGTTAATTAAAAAGAGATAGGTAGAGACAAAGACAAATTTCTCCCTCTTCTCGATCTTTCTGCTCTAAGAACATCGAGCTCGCTCTATGTTCTCGCTCCAAAGCGAAACAAACACTTTAGGGATCTCTCGGAGTGTCAATTCAAACACTTTTGAAGCGCTCGGAGATCTCCGATGATCAAATCAAACGCACCATAAGCAGAAGCGGATGATTAAAACGCACCTGATATTTTGCTTGATGCTGTCAGTGTCAGTGAATATTATTTTTGAAGTCACAGTTTATTGCTAGAGAACCAGTTAGCTCACTCGGACCAGTTGGAAGTTCCAAAATAACATCCACTCCAGTGATACAAATTCAGGATACGCAAAGTGGATGTTAACCATAAAAATATTTAACTACTAGAAAATATGAAGTTAACCAAGATAACTGAATGTTTCTAACCTTACTTTTTTTAGTAATTTGACATTTAAACAGCTTTTAGTTTTTTTTTAATATGAACGATTACGAAATAAATGCTTACAGCAGTGACGAAGAAGCAAGGAGGCCTAAAGTGATAAGGCCTAGAAAGAATTTTTTTGAAGAGTATGACAATTATGATTTCTTTTGTCGGTTTCGTTTATCGAAAGCAACTGTAGAAGGACTACTTAAAGAAATTGATGATACCATTTCCCACCTTACAGATCGGTGAGTCAAATCAAGGAATTTATCATATAGGTACATGTAGTGCTATATTTTTTATTTCAGAAATGATGCATCATCATCGAGTCAACAACTGCTTCTAGCATTAGATTTTTATGCTACTTGTTCATTTTTGAGGGCAATTGGAGATTTAAGTGGTGTTAGTAAATCCACAGCCAGCAGAATAGTGCGCAGGGTTATTACAGCTATAGCTAATATCTTGCCACAATATATTAATATGCCTGAGGGAGAGGAAATTCAACAAATTAAAGACGGATTTTTTAATATTGCCCGTTTTCCAAAATGTATAGGGGCGATAGCAGAGCTGGGCAAGTACTCGAATACTTTTACTCGTATTTCGATTACGAGTAGAATATTTACTCGTAATTTTTACTTACAAGTATTTTTTATTTGTGGTACTTAATACTCGTACTTACAAGTAAATTTAAATTTACTCGTAGAATGTACTTGTAAAATACGAGTATTATTTTACGAGTAGTCGGCATTTTTTGATCGTCGATGTTAACCGCCAGTCGCTACTATAGATCGCCAGTATCACGAATCACGACACGAAACGGCCTCGGTTGTGTTCGGGCTGCGGTCTCTGATTTGGGTTGGGAATATTGGGAAAAGCAATTCGTTGGGCGTTTTACATTTTATTATTTTTGGTGTTTTGTGGTGGTGTGAATGTGTTTCCTACGAGAACGGTTAAATATTAAACGTCTATAGACTCCATACACAATCTTTGTTAATTTGAATAAGGATAATTTCCTGATCGTAGCAGAATTTTATATAAATAAAAAGTTTTGTTTCCATCTTCGGGTGCAGTCAAAAATTAATTTAAAAAAAACACATGGGGACGGTTACAAACAGTTTAAATATTTTTAAAAATAACAGAAACCCCATCTTTCTGTTTCAGCGTGTGAAGGTGTATTCGAAATAGTATTGATTTGGTTTAACACGATAACGATAAAGTAGGGAACAAAAAGATGAGTTTTTACAAATTTAAAAATTACCAGTTTTAAAAAACTGTATTTAATTGTTCACTGTCAAGTTGACCATGTTTGTTTTAATTATATTCTAAACAAAGTTTTTATTTATTTTAGAATTGTTTTTTGTTTTTGTTTAGGTAAATAAAGACTATTTTTATTTAAAAATTATAGTGGTTTTTCTTTGTTTTTTCTATAGTTTATTTATTAGGTTAATTTTGTGAAAATACTCGTACTCTTTACTCGTATTTTCACGATTACTACTCGTATCCGTAAACTATCTCTATAAAAGTACTTACTAATAAAATACTTATAAATACAATTTTTGAGTACTCGTACTCGTACAATTTACGAGTATTTTATTCAGTACTCGTGCCCAGCTCTGGGCGATAGACTGTACCCACATGAAAATTATCTCTCCAGGGAGAGAAAATGCTGAAACTTTCAGAAATAGAAAGAACTTTTTTTCATTAAATGTAAAGACAGTAGCAGATCCCCTTTTAAAAATAAGAGACATTGTAGCAAGGTGGCCAGGGTCTTGCCATGACTCTTATATTTTTCAAAACTCGGCATTATACACCTTGAACAAGGTTTTTTTGATGACAATGTTCTAGTAGGAGACAGTGGATATGGAATTAAAAATTATTTAATAAAACCATTATTAGTTGTTGATAACAGAGCAGAGTCTCTGTTCAAGGAATCGCAAATACGAACAAGAAATGTTGTAGAGAGGCAATATGGAGTCTGGAAGAGAAGATTTCCTGCTTTAGCAACAGGTCTACGTGTTAAATTAGATACTGTTCAACCAATAATTGTTGCTACTGCTACAATTCACAATATTGCGCGTGATGCCAATGAAAATGTGCCTCCCATTAATGATCAACAAGAAAAGGCAATTAACTTTGTTGACAATATTGTTGTGCCTAATGTTGTAGAAATAAATGAAAACAAATTGAACATAGAAGATAAAATTTATTAAATAATTATTTTGCCACTTTATAACTCGGATGGATCTTTATATTTAACTGACTTTTTATTATAATAATTGTAATAGGAGTTTGTTTTAATAAATTTTGTATGAATCATGCAAATATTATTTTAAAAAATCTAATAAATAAAAGCAATAAAAACAAAGATTATTATATTTAAATTTTAATAAAAAACAACAAAATAAAACAACTCAAAAATAACTAAACGGAGATTGCTGAACCTTTACATTCTTATCAAAATCACAAAGTACAAAAAAAAACACAAAATACATATGAATATTAATAACAAAAAAATAAAACCGAACGATAAAACAATTTAAAAATATCTAAACAAAGAATTCTCAACTCAAAATACATTTTAAGTAAACAAAGGTACAAAAAAATCACATAAGATCATTCTTGATTAAACATATCGATCTGCTTTTCTTTTAAATATAATTCCTTTTTTACCAATTCTATTTCCAAATTAATTTTTTCTATAGTTTTATTTTTTATTTCCATATCTTTCTCTAAACGTTGTATTTTCAGGGTGTTTTCCTCATCAAATTTTTTCTTTTGGTGAACAACAAAATCCATTTTTTTTCTATCAACTCTCTATTAACGGAGTTATATTCCTTTGTAACAAGATTGTTTCTTTTTAACACTGCTTTTCTGTTAGTTACTGAAAAATAGAACATTATTTCATTGGTAAACATCATACTTTTGAGCCAAGTCTATAAGGACGAGTCGCAAAAGATGTTTCTTATTTTTCTCTGAATAAAACAAATAATTTTTTCTTCAAACGTCAATTAAGGCTGTATTAAGTTATATATTAAGTACTAAATTAAGTACCAAATTAAGTACTATATTAGGTAATAAATTTAGTCACAAAATTTATAAAATTTCCCACATTTCACAATCACAATTTTTGTAGTAGTATTGTACAAATGTCAATCAAATTTATTAATGGGTTACCCATAAATTTTTTCCTATGGCAACAATCAGTCTGTTACATTTGATTGGCTTTTATGCAATCTAAAAAATCTCACCTGCCAACTTTGAATGAATTGGTTTTTGTAGATCTTTAGGACAATATTTTGCCCAGTTTCCACTGATTGTAGTAGGATTTTCTGTAATTTTAGTAATAATAATTAAAATTGTTCAGTGCCTAGTAGGTTTTATCTTTACCTTCAATGTCTGCTACATTTTGATTATCCTCATTTACTATAATTTTTGGATGTATTGTGTCCTTGATTATTTCACTTGTACCTGAACAACCAGGCTCGCTATTATATGAAACATCATTTTGACTATGTGATATATCTGAAATGTAACTTTTGCAATCTCAACTTTCCGGCTTATAATATAAAAAAGTAATTGGTATAAAAAATATAACCTACCCTTATCACTGTCAAAAATACTTGGAAGGCCAGTAACTTGCTGCCCTAGCAAATCCGATATAGCAGCATCTACTTCTGACAGTACTTCTTGGGTAATTGGTCCACCACCAGTAAGATTTATGTTTAACTTATTTTGGGAAATTCTCTTTTGTCTTCTTTTTTAAATTAATATATTTTTCTTTGAGCATTTTAACGGATCTACGTCCGTTTAGGCCACAGTTTGAATTGAATTCTTTTTCTATTTGAATCCATTTAATATGTTTTTCCATCCAAGTAACAGCATTAGTTGCTTTTGATTCAATGATACTTTTATATTTGGCAATTAATGATATTAATAAATATTCCTCATTTTTTGAAAATTTTGAACCTCTTTTGGGTTGTGTGTTCATTGTTAATTGGAATCTCAATCTCTTTATACCTCTTTTTTTACAGAAACACATTAATCAAACAACAGTGACAGTGAGATTAACATCAAACATTAAAATGAAAAGAAACCGACTTCTTTTTTATTTGAAAATATATATTATGAACTATTTCTGACATAGAACAAGCAATTCATTTTTGATTTCATACCAACACAAGAAAAATTAATACATAACCGTAGGTTGCTTGACCAATAGGTAAATAATGTTTGTGAAACGGGTTCTTCTGGTTAATGTCAAGGTAATGGTATATTAACCCTAAGAGTTAACTACCGATTGTGAAACTGACCGTAAGGGGTCTATTCTGTAAAATGTTGGCTAAAATTAACCCTAGTTCATAAAAATAACCGGATGTTATTTTTAATTTTGTATTCTGTATCTATAACTTGTGGAGGGTGGGTTAACCCACGGCACTTAGGCCTCACTAGACCCATTGTGCATTTTGTATTCTGTATTATTTGTATCTGTCAAATATATTCTTTTTCTTATTTTTAATGCCGCGTTGGGCTTAACTTAAATACACTTTTAGGTATATTACATCGTTGCCATGTCAATTTTAACCAGAGCCAGTTAGAAAATAACTAACAACAAAACTGATGAAATAGCGAGTAGAGATTTGGGGAAAATTTGCACAACATGGTTATAAATAACCCTTTAACGTGGCGGGTAAAATTAACTAAAAAACGTTACAGAATAGGCCCCCAAGACGCCATTTTGAATACACTTTTCCATTCCTTGAAGTGCGTCTATCTGTTATATCGCTAAATAGTGTTTATGTCATCTCTACTTCATTCTATCTCGAGTTCTGTAGGTAATATAGAAATAGAAAATAAAAAATCTGAATCCATTTAAATTATTAATAAAAAAAAATCCTCTTAAAAACATGTTATTACCTCTAAATTGAAATATAATAAAAACATTTTCGTATAAAAATTAAGCCCGACATTTTGCTTTTAACATGTTAGTTCTTAATCTGTATATTTACCTACCACTTTTCAGTTAAGGGTTTTAATGTTTGTTTTCAAAAAAAAAATCTAAAAGCATTAGACCAGAGTTATGCAAACAAAGGAAAACCCTTTTATTTCGGTTACTTTACTTCCATGGGTCGAGCTGGAAAACTGTCACGAGGAATTTTCAATAAAGCGGAGTCTTGCCTATACTTATGAAACAAAAACAAGACAGCTCTTGTTATTGTCAAGTTTTATTCACTAAAGGGTTTTAATTTAAAAACTTTTATATACTTTCATGGTTAAATTAATTTAAGTACCTATTTTTATTTTCTTATCTTAAAACAAGAATTTAATTGCAAAATAAATTACAATTTTTGACCAAAACATGATTAAATATAATCAGATAACAAGATTACTGAGATGTTTAAAACTTTCAAGACACAAAGAATAAAAATAAAAGAATGCTGTCCTTTTTACTTACGTATCAGATATACGAGAAGCTCTTGTATATTTCCAAGCCACAAAACTTTAATTTGAATGTAGATCGACACGTTCGGGGTGTCGAATAACATTTTCCCTTTGAAGTCGGATTAAAGGGACTTCGGTTTTCCATCAGTAATCCAATTTGCGCTTTTTGATGACTAGACTTTTCGCGAAATCTGATCAACATAAAAAAACCGTATACGATTTCGTTTAGATGACGAAACACGTATACCAATACCAGTTTACTGTTTACGAAAAGTGACTTTAAAAAGGATCAGTTGTAAAGATTGTAACGCGATCAAAAACCCTCAGTTGTTTGTTAACTGAAAGAAGTTAATACAGAAAATAATAAATAATGTAAGAATAGAACTGAAGAAACCTTCAACATATATTTGAAATTAAAAGATATAATTCAGTACGCCACTGGCAGACTGTCAATTTCTGGAAAGCCTTTTATATCATTTTCGGTATAAGCCACAAATTGGTAGTGGACGCTGTCACGTGTGCGATGACTCGCGGATGGTTGGTTGGTTCTGTCAGGGAAAACAGCCGTTTGGCTCGTAACGTGACGTCGTCCAGCAGAATATTATTCTCATCGCAAGAAATAACACCATCCAACTTCGTTAAACGACTTGAATTAACGCCTTGTTTGAAATTATTTATTTTACTTCTAACGTTAAATACAGACTGTGATGTATTTTATTCAATTAATTGTATTTTATAAGCATAGAAAAAAGTGTAATAGGGTAGTGGCACCAGTTATGGACACTCTTAGAGATAATTTAAACATAATTGCCTGAAACTGCCACAGTAAAAGTTTGGTTTTAATCATATACATACCAAAATTAAGCTTATATATTATTTTTGCCTATGCTATAGCAGTAGTTTTTCTTAAATCACGTTAAGTATGTAATAATTAATTTAATTTTTACATATGCATTTTCGCCAGAAATGGACAGTCGTTTTTTTCATAAATCCTACTTGTAGAACCATTAATGGACTTTTTTTTTGTTTTATTACTATTCTGTTTAAAACATGATAAATTGATATTTATGATTCAAAAAATAATTAGGAATCTATAAAAGAATAAACACATAAACGTATACAAAATAATATAATTATTGTCGATTTAAATTTAAAACAAGAAAATAATATCTTGGTAAATAAATGAGATAAATGACTTTTATAATCATTAATATTCTTCTTCGTCCTCACTGATGCTCTCATGTTCATTACTATAGTCTATTTTCATGTATGAGAGAGTAATAAAACAGCATTTCTAATGGTCATTTTAAATATTTTTACAGAATAATCTAAATATTTCCTAAAATTGTAATAAATGTACCTGAGCTATTACAAGTTTTGGGTCTTTTATTGGTCCTTTATAAACATAAGCTGTACAGAACAATAGAAAAAGGTTTGGACAGGCCAAAAGCGCTGTGTATTAAAGATTACATAGCCGTATCTTAAGATTATTTTCAATAAGTACCTATTTGCCAATTTTGTTTTATTTTAATTTCAAGAATTTCTTACAGTAATCGAATTATAAGTAGATAAATACCTTCCCAACAAATTTCACTGAAAATGCGATTATAGGTTTTCCATTTAGAAAGTAGGTCCAAGTTGTGTATTCTTGACAGTTTACTAAATGTCGTTTAGTTGCAACTTGCAAGGTGCAGTGTGAATTCTAGTGTGATCATGGAAAATTTGGAAGGGCCGCGCAAATGACAAAAAATCGGTCCTTTAACAGTTGTTAATGAAAAAACATTAATATTTAATTGTTTTAAATCATTTACAGACAAACATTTATGTAAAAGTGTTGATGACACAGTGGAATTAGTTAGTAGTACGCTTGGTGTTGGGAAATCTACGATTTACAGAGTTGTTAAAGAAGAGAAATGTGGCCAGTTTCAAACAGCACGTAAAGCTCCAGGAAAACCAAAATTTCAATTAGAAAATCTTTTGAAAGAAAGATTTCGAAGGAAAGTGCATGCATTCTTCTTTAGAAAAGAATTTCCGACAGTAGACAAAGTTCTTGCCACGGTTCGAGATGATAAGGATTACCCTGAAATGAGTCGAAGCACACTATGGAAACTTTTAAAAGAAATAGGTTTTCTATGGAAAAAGCATTCCAGAAAGTCTATTTTAATAGAAAGAAGCGATATTGTAGTATGGAGAAGAAATTACCTGAGGACTATAAAAGAAATGAGAAACCAAAGAAGAAATATATTTTATTTAGATGAAACTTGGATCAACGAGGGACATAAACCAAATAAATTTTGGCAAGATGAAACTGTTACAAGTCGAAGACAGGTTTTTTTAAATAATTTATCTACTGGTTTAAATTCACCATCAGGAAAGGGGCGCAGACTAATAATAGTACACATCGGTACTTCAAACGGTTTTGTTAAAGGTGGTTTATTGACTTTTGAATCTACTCGTACCGGTGACTACCATGAGGACATGAATGCTGATGTCTTTAAAGAGTGGTTCGAACAAATTATAGATCTTCTTCCTCAGAACTGTATAATAGTAATGGATAATGCAAGTCACTCGAGACTTATAGAAAAAATGCCCACAACCAAGTGGTTAAAAAAAGATTTACAGAATTGGCTAAATTCAAAGAATATTAAGTTCCATCCCGGTTCTGTGAGAAAAGAACTGTATCATTTGTGTTCCCTTCATAAAGAGAAATTAACAAAATATGAAATTGATGAAATTGCAAAAAATCGTGGGATGACGGTGGTTAGATCACCACCTTATCATTGCGAAGTAAACCCGATTGAACTGATATGGGCACAGATAAAGGGAGAAATTTCAAGAAAAAATAATTATTTTAAAATGAGTGATGTTAAACAGTTGTTTTTGAAGGCTGTAAATAATGTGAAGCCTGAAAACTGGGAAAAGGCAGTAAATCATACGATTAAAGAAGAAGAGAAAATGTGGAAGTTGGACAATATTACTGATGAAATGATCGAGCCACTCATTGTAAATATTGGTTGCGACAGTTCATCTTCTGATTCCGATTCTGATTTGTATTTGTAGGTAAGAAGTAGTTTTTATATTAAAATTATTATTTATGAACGTAACGTTGTTTAAAAGTCAAAGTTTAAACCCTTATACCTACATAACCCGTTTGACACAATGTTCTTAACATACCTTGTGGAAAAATAAAACATTTTAGAAAAATTGCACTTTTATACCTTCAGCTGTTTAGAAGTTATAAGCAGGTTAATTAGGTGAAAATATAAGTGGTATACTCGAGGAATAACTTCAAAAAATATTTTAACTGTCTACTAAAAGATGTGGTACGCCTATGGATTACGAACGCTTTATTATTTTAATACTCTCTCATACATAAAAATAGACTATAGTATCAATAGTGATACCACATTTTTCGCATACAAACTGTTCGTCCTCTTCAGAATCTGCGTAAGTATTTCCAAGGCTATTCATATACTTAAGAGGAACACAAATTTTATGAACCTTATTTGGTCAGCTAATACATGTAAGCCATTTAGCTTTTCTCTCTAATACATGCTGGTCCTTCCATGCTGGTCCTTCCATGCTGTTCGGCATTTATAA